GCCTCATCTGAAGAAGTTTGTGGGACATCCTTAGATAAGTAGGAAAGATGTGGCACTTACCTTCTTTAGGGCCACACAAAGTGATGTTCAGGGCTTATTCCTGCCCTCCAGGATGGCACAGGGAAACACGTGGGCCCTTAGGATCAAAACTTGTTGGTCACATGCCAGGAAAACAGCCTGGGAAGTTGTCTTTTTCCAGGGGGATAGGAATGGGTCATATAGGGCAACACTTGGGGACAAACTTCCAGCTCAGTGAGTGTGTGTGTGTGTGTGTGTGTGTGTGTGTGTGTGTGTGTAGTGGGGAGGGCACTTCAGACTGTGCTCCAGGGACCATAGGTGGAGCCAAGGATCAAACCCCATTTTGCTGTGTGCAAAGAAAGTGCCTTACCCGCAGTTCTAGCCCCGGTTCACCTATATCTCAACAAAAACTGCTTACCTTGGAAAGCATGTGGTTATCAGCCGTAACAACAAAGGGAAAGGAGAGAAAACAAGAAAAAAATTGAAGGGGCCAGAGTGACAGTATAGTTGGGTAGGTCATAGAAAAATTAAAATATGCCTTTCTACAACAGATATGAAATGAATTAATATGAATTGTGACTTACTGGGTGCCCATCCCACTTTGTGCTAGCTTGCAATAACTACTAGGCATACTGAGTGCAAGTGTCTTTAGACTATCCATTTTGTGTAGCACCATTCCTGGCTTATTTGATATCATTAATACAATCTTCCTAATTATCATTAGACAAGCAGGTTTCTCTTAGTTTTTTATCCTTATTTTCCTATACTGGTCCAGAGAAATAGTACAGGGTTAATACATTTACCTTGATGTGAACATTGTCCAACCCCTTTGACAACTGTGGCCCCCCATGAGTAAGCCCTCCATCCCCAAACAAAGACTCTTTAATTTCAGTGTGAAGAAGTTAAATCTAAGACACAGTAAACTTGTGTGAGTTGCCACATGATCTGCTTTCACTGAAAGTCAGCACAGCCCTTATTTCTCAACTATACCAGATGATTTCTAGAGCACACACTTCATTTTTGGAAAATGATTTTTCTCAAGAGGGAAGGCTGGTTTTCAATCATACCTGGCAATGCCCAGGGCTTACTCTTGGCTCCACACTTGGTGGATTAGATATAGTGCCAGGGACTAAATTGGCATATTAACCCGTAACCCTTCTCTCTTCGGCCCTAGGAGTTTTTAAAATCATTAGTGCTTTAAAATGATTTAAAACAAAAGGGCCGGTGGTGGAAATAGGCTTCGTGCTTTGGCCTGTTCCCCCCGGTGGACCGGTGGCTTCCATCCTCCAGAGGCCACTGAAACAAACAGGTTTGGGCCTGCAGTGATGAGACACTCGGGACCTAACAGGCTGGGGTTGGAGCGGGCCCTTTCTGAGTCGCTGCCCAAGAAGAGCCTCTCTGGCTCCTCATCAAGCTGCTAAATGGCCATGATCCCAGAGACTCAGAAAGATATCTCAAAACCCTGTGGCTTTTGGGAGAAATGCGTCCAAACTCCTCAGTAGGTTACTGTCATCGGGCCACCCAAGGAGAAAGGGTGTTGTCTCTCTGCCTGCTCCCCTTATTTGGCTAGGTGGCTGCCATCCTCCAGAGGCCATTAGGCAGTCAGGTCTGGGCCCTCAGAGACTAGACACATGGGACCCCAAAGAGACCTGAGTCACTACCCAGGAACGGACTTTCTGGCACCTGATCAAGCTGCTTAACGGCCATGATCCCAGAGACTCAGGAACAAATCTCGAAACACAGCAGGTTTGTGGTAAAGTTTCAGAATTGCAAAATCGCACAGCCACTACTGCAGCCACACAACATCAAATGTTATTCTTAACCAGCAATAGAAAACAAATTGTTTACTGTTGCCTTTTCAGCAGATCTGAGTTTTGGAGTAAAATCCCAAATAATAATGGTGGGTCTAGTGTCAAAATATTAAATGTGATCAAAGTAGAGAGAGAGTAATGTGGAAATCATCTGCCCCACAGGTAGGGGGAGGGTGTGGGATGGGGATATACTGGGGTTTTTGGTGGTGGAGAATGGGCACTGGTGAAGGTACGGGTGTTTCATTGTATGGCCAGGACTTAAACCCAAAAGCTTTGTAACTGCTCTCAGTGATTCAATAAATAAAATTATAAAAAATGGGGGAAAAAAAAGGTGGAGTTCATGCCCAATTCAATCAGCTAATCAGTGGCTGAATAGCAGTACTCCTACATAAAAAAAAAAGACTGGTTAGAATAGGGTTTAAGGTGCTTAACTTGCATGTGATTCATCAGGCTTAATCCCCAAAAGCACAAACGGTCACTCAAGCACACCAGGAGTAGCCCTGACCACAGATGGGTGTGGTACAATAAAGCAAAAATAATAAAAAGCATTGTCTTTGGTCAGGCACTAAAATTACTTGGACAGAATTACCATTCCCTACAATCCATTCTGATGATCTGATTGGCTGAATTCACTATGGTTTAAGACTTGAGATAATTGATTGCCCATGCTCTATGTTTTCTTATCCCCATGCACCATCGGCCACTGCCTTTACCCAGAAGCATGCTGACTGCTGTCCAGTCTTCTTTGGTCATACCCACTCCTCAGAGCAGTGCAACCCAATTGGAGTCAACTTTATCTCACTCACAAGCAGGTAGGAATTTTTAGGGTCATAAATTTTAAGTCTGCCCACCTCCGGTCAAGTGGTGCTTAGGACAGGAGACTAAAATAAGATCCTTTTAAGAATCTGACCTTTATTGGGGCTGGAGAGGTAGTACAACAGGTAGGCAGCTTGCCTTGCATGCACTTGACCCTGGTTTGATCCCTGACATCCCATCTGGTCCCCCCTGCACTACCAGAAGTAATTCCTGAGACCAGAGCCAGGAGCAACCTCTGAACAGAGTGATCCCAAAACACAAAGAATCTGACCCATATTAAGAGCCCAATCAATAATCCTACCTTCCTTCAGTCAGAATCTGAAGCATTAACATTACGTATTCAAAGACTCAACTATACTGACAAAGGGGTGGGGCAAAGTAAAATCAAATACATAACTATATCCAATTAAAAATATTTTACAGAAGACCAGAGATGTGGATCTGCTGCAAAGTTCATGCCTTGCATGTGAAGTAGGCTGACAGAAAGGTATGGGGGGCTGGCAATGAGTTCTCAGTAACATATAGAATTATATATAATAAGATATAAAGAACCCATCATTAACCCGAAAGTAGCTGAACAAGCAATGGCCAGACCCACTTTTGGACAGAGGAACTGAGGCCTGATAAGACTTTAACTGGTGCAGAGCCGGCCCAGAAGCTGGACCACCTCCAGAGAGAAGCTTCAACAGTTAACAAATTTTTTTTTTTTGGGTCACACCCAGATATGCACAGGGGTTACTCCTGGCGGTGCTCAGGGGACCATATTTGATGCTGGGAATTGAACCCTGATCAGTCGCATGCAAGGCAAACGCCCTACCCACTCACTGTGCTATCATTCCAGCCCCAACAAATGGTTTTGATAAGGACCTGAAGGTAAATCACAGAGAGTCCCAAGCTCTTCCCCAAGACAACACTCTAGCAACACTCACCGCCATAGAAAGCCCCCATGTGGAGAATGTTTGAGAGAAAACCTAGAAATCCCGACTCCAAACATATAGGTGGGGCACTTCTGCATTCTGAGGAGACTGCCCACAATTCTACTGGTCTGGACTCCCAGCACTCCCTCTCTGCACAAGCCCAGTTCTCATCAACCCAGTATTCTCTTTCCTTCTTTATGATCTCTAAATGCAACTATTTGCATTCCTGCAAAGCAAGCTCACTCCAGAGATCCACAGCTCCCGGAAAAACTAGGTGGTAGGGACCATTTCCCACCCAGGCAGAACAAGTGAAACGCAGGTGTGCTTTGCCAAGTGCTGTGTGGAGCTGGGTGAGACCCTGGATTTGATCCTTGGTACAAGAAGGTTTTGATCCTTGGTACAAGAAAATAAAGCAGTCCAACAAATGAGAGATGTCCAAACTAACTTGAAAATATCCATTGTGATCCAGTAATTATACCACTACCTTTCCTAAAGGACCTGTAACCCCCTAAGTTCATAATATTTTAATATTTACAATAACCAAACATGGGATCTATATGACAATCAATGGTTGATATATACTGATTATATGTTGATATGATATATATATATATTCTCAGTAGAATACTAATTAACTATTGCTACCTGGAATAACAAGAATGGAACTCAGGGGCTGGAGAATTAGTATAGTCCGTAGGGCTCTTGCCTTGCACGTGGCAAACAGGGTTCAATCCCTGTCACGTGGTTCTTGCATGTCCCACTAGATTCCACCAGAAGTGATACCTGAGCAAAGAATGATCATAGAGCCCAAAACAAACAAAAAGAACAGAATTTGAGATCATTTTGTTAATAGAAATTTAGTCAAGAAGTGAAAGATAATTACATTATTTCACTCAGAAAATACACACCCAAAGCAAATGAGCTAGCAAAACATAAAAAAAGAACTATTATACTCTGAAACACAGAGAGGGACAGGGAGGGGGACTAAGACTAACAGGGGTTAGTCACCAAGCCCACTTTATGGGGCCAGAGAGACAATACAGGGGGAAGGCCCTGCCTAGCAGCAGCCTACCCCAGTTCAAACCTCAGCACTATATATAGTTCCATGCACAGCCAGGGGTCACTGCTGGGGACTGAGCTGGAAAACAGCCCCTACATACCACCGTTATAGCCCCCAAAACAAAATTCATGTTTTATTCAATTGGACATGCTGGTTGGAAAGTTAAACTACTAAAAGGTGCAGAATACAGATGGTGGCTTCTTTCAAAGTTAAAAAGCAGGAGCAGGATCAGCTAGAGAGAGCTTAAGGGCTGGAGAGGCCCAGCTTTGATGCCTAGTTTCAGAGGTTCCGTCAAGCACCGTGAGGTATATCCTCAAGCCCTGAATACACAAATTTACAGATAAAATCAAAACAATATAATGGAAACAGACAAATAGCATTATTGGGAGTCTTTTAACGCATTAAAGATGATTTGTGACTTTTTTTTAAACAAGTCTTTAATTAAAAAACTCAACAAAAATATATAATCGAGCATTTTACATAATACATACATTCTTTTTTCTGCAGGTAAGATAAGCAGAAGGCAAAAGCAGATAGACTGTATTGCTTCTCTTTGGCAAATAACCAATATTATCCTCTGCAGAAACATAAGATACATGTAAAAAAAAACAAAACAAACCCAAAACACCGCCCCCCCCAAACAAACAATAAAAACCAGGGTCTTAAGGTAATTGTCCCTAGTACAAACAACAAAGTATTTAGCAAGAATACAGTAGGTGAATTTCTCAAGCTGACTACAATTTGTAATACTTTATACCACAGAGGTTAAAGCAGCAAGCTGCTTCCCCAAATCCAGGCTCATAGTAATATTCAGTGGAGAAGGAGGAAATACTCTTTCATTTCTAGTTACATCTTGGCTAGTTTTTACTTAAAAACAAGTTCAAATTCTACCCCTCAATTGTCATTCCTAAGGAAAACCAACACTTTCACTTTACAAAATCTGTTTCTGTTGCAGGTCACTTGTCTGACAGCTAACAGGCAAGCCTGCATTTTGCATGAGGCAATCCTGCTTTATTAAGTCAATATTTACTATCTAACACAGTGTTCCAAAATTTAGGGGAAAAAAAACTGTTTCCACTTAACAGCAAAGAATATGATGTATAAATACACACTGTGCCTCTATTGAAGCATTATATACATGTCAGAGCTAAAAATGGGAAAAGCAAAAGTGTATTCGACATAGAGCACCTTATATCTAAATATATACATGTACGTTATTTGTTTTCACAGTTAGATATTAGGGGGGAAATTTACACTTGACAGGTTTAGAAATATTTATCCTACAGTTGATAAATAATACTTTTAAAAGTTTAACTGATCAAAAGGCAGTATAAAAATGTATCAGATTAGCCAGGGAGGTAGCTCTGTGGTAGAGCACTTGCCTTGAATGTGTGAGATCGTGGGTTCGATCCCCAGCACCACCAAAAAATAAAAAGAAAACTTCAGGAATTGGAGAGACAACTGACAGGGCTGAGAACATGCTCTGCATGCAGATGGCTGGGGTCTGATCTCTGTTCGACGCAGTCCATCCCCTGTCCAAAGCGAATAGTGGGTAGGCCCCAAATGTTCCCTCTCCCCAACAAAAAGAATTTAAACTCCCCCCCAAAAAGCAATGTATCGAATAAAATAAATGTTCTACACCTTGAAAGTATGACACTCGAAGTCAGTAAAGCTTGAGGTTTATGTGAAGTGAATTCTTTTGGTCCCTAAAGAGAGTCCTCTAGATGCGATAGGAGAGGAACTGCAAGACTTTGTAAGGAACCGGCAGCTCCAGGATTTCGTGGGGAGGCATCCCTCTCCGGATTGACATTCGGCATAAATGTTGAAGGCTAGGAACCTGCCTTGGAGTGGCCCAAAAATACACACTTCCATCATGTGTCCTAAAAAAATAAGACAATCATAAGCTGAGTCACCCAAATAGATACATTTTCACATCCTAGAACTCACACTACCAACTAAGGCTATGCTTTAGAACCAGATGCACAATGAAAGCTGATGGCCGCTACAAAATAAAAGGCAGTAAAGGATGCCTATAAAAAGATTTGCTGAAAATTCAATATTGGCACTGACTAAAAGCCACCTAAAACTGCCAATGAAACAGAAAAGTCTCTTACCCAGCAGCTAAAACACTGCCATCAGTAGAAAAGGCACAGCAAAGACCATTGCTCAAAGGAGCAACTTGTACTGGACAATCCTCATCAATTCTCCAGAACCTCACCAATCTGGAAATGAAGAAAATTTTCCAGTGACAATAGAATTAACTTAAAGCAACAACAGTTACATATCAGAGACATGCAGTCACATAGAGTCACCACACACACACACACACACACACACACACACACACACACACACGTAAATTACTGTTAACAAGCAATTATTGCATCTTTCTTTATAAATGCTTACAAGGGAATACTTCCTCTTTACTCTTTGCACACAGACACAACCAGGAAATCTAGTCTTTTTCACATCTTTCTAAATCAGTTACCAAACCTTATCACTTAAATAGAATATGCATAGTAACACAACAGAAAACTGACATTCAGAATCTGAATAAACAAGAAAATGATCACTACCAATAGATACAATCCCAAATGTTTTCTTAAATTCGGTAGTGTGATCAATAGTAAACCAGGGGCAATATCAGAATGCATGCTTTGTATTTGTGAGGCCCTGGATTCCATCCCACACCTTTAGATTAAAGGTCACTTTCTGAAGTGATGTGACCAAACTGATTGCTGTTGCATTCATTCATAAAGTAATTAAAACCAGGAGAAAATGGAATCATTACCATGAGTTTCTTCTGCTTACTCGCTCGTATGACAATTTATCTAAGAGTCATAATTATAGTGGATATAAACTGCAGTGTTCTTACTACTCATTTAGTTTTGAAAATCTCTTTTATCAGAGCTACCCATTTTGCCCATACTAGATAATAAACAAGGAACACAGAAAAGACTGTGACCACTGGATTACATGAACTACCTTGAGGCTATCCTATTTCTATTTTTTTCAGATATAGATATACTTCAGGCCAGTACTTTTTTCTTTCCTTCTTTTTTAGGATTTTGGGCGAAATCCCATGGTACTCAGAGCTTCGGTGACCATATAAAGGTAAAGGTAAAGGCCCTCCCGTTGATCATCGATTTGCTCGAGCGGGCCCAGTAACGTCTCCATTGGAGACTTTGTTGTTACTGTGTTTGGCATATCGAATACGTCACGGGGAGCTTGCCAGGCTCTGCCGTGCAGGCGAGATATTCTTGGTGGCTTGCCGGGCTCTCCGAGAGGGGCGGAGGAATTGAACTCGGGTCGGCCATGTTGGCTGCATGCAAGGCAAACGCCTTACCGCTGTGCTATCGCTCCAGCCCATATAGTGCTGGGAATCAAAATGGGGTCAGCCACAATAAAGGCAAGCACTTCCCACCCTATCTCTCTATCCCCATCCCAGCCCCAGGTCAGTATTCTACAAAATACATCAACAGTTCTTCATGCAAGTTGTCAGGGAAAAACTGTACAAAAGCTTTTAATTTGGGGGTGGGGGGCCCACACCTGGTGGTGCTCAAGGGCCACTCTCAGCGGTGCTCAGCAAATCATGTGCTACCAGGATGGAGGTGGGGCTGCCCACATGATGATACTAGGCCTCTGACCATTTCTTGGCCACCAGAAAGGTTTTTTTGTTTTTGCTTTGGAGGTCAATACCTGATGATGCTCAGGGGACCATATGGGATGCATAGAATAGAACTTGAGTCAGTTACGTGCAAGGCAAACAAACGCCTTAACCCCGGTACTATCTCTCTGGTCCCCAGAAAGGCTTTTAATTTAAGCCTTCGAAATATTTTCATTGAGAGGGCCAGAGAGATCAAGAGGTAAGGTACCTGTCTTGCATATAGCTGACCCTACTTTGATCTCAAACATACCACATAGCCTTGAACAAAAGCCAGGAGTAGTCCCAAAGTACCACAGGGTAAGCCCCCACCCAGCCCCCACAAAGGTTTTCTTTGGGATTGGGGAGGTGACTGAATGGGCTGGAGCTCATGCTCTGCATGCTGGAGCCCTGGGTTCCATCCTGAGCACCACAGGGAGCCAAACTCTATTTCACCCTTCTCACCAATGAGGAGCCCTTGAGCGCTACCAGGTGTACCCCTGAAACCACAAGATTCTCTTAAGTGTTACGATGACAGGCAATATTTAAAAGACAATAGGCCAAAAAGATGTAATGTTCACTTACTTATCGTCAGCGAGGCTTGCAATATGTAGTCCATCATGACTGAAAGATACGGATCGTACCCATCTGTCATTTGCTCCTCCAGCAAATATTGGAGTAGGTGGGGGAAACAGATGCCTGAGGTGAAATACATTATTTTCAGCGGATCAGAGGATCACTTTACGAAACAGAACTACCCATGCAAAAAGTACACCCAATCCCTAAGGCTCTTAAAATGACCTTAATGACAAAGAGACTGAATAGAACTGGAATATTCAAATTAATTAAACCAAGCTTCAAATAGCTATTCAGAGGCTGGAGTGATAGCACAGGGGTAGGGCATTTGCCTTGCACGCAGCCGACCCAAGTTCGATTCCCAGCATCCCATCTGAGCACCGCCAAGAGTAATTCCTGAGTGCAGAGCCAGGAGTAACCCCTCAGCATTGCCGGGTGTGTGACCCCCCCCCAAAAAAAGCTATTCATCTTTTTTTCCCCTTTTTACAATGTGGTTTAAGATCACACTGTGAAGATCACATGAAGTCAAACTTTAGCATTAAACATTAAACTCTATATTCAATCACCACTTGTACAGTCATACACTTTTGGGGGGCCACACCTGATGATGCTCAAGGGTAATTCCTGGCTCTGCACCCAAGAATTACTCCTGACAGTGCTTGAGATATCATGGGATATCGAATCCGGTTAGCCACATGCAAGTGCTCTGCCCGCTGTACTATCACTCTAGTCCTACAGTCTTAACTTTAAATAACATTTTCTTTTTTTGCTTTTTGGGTGATGCGTGGGGGTTACTCCTGGCTCATGCACTCAGGAACTATTCCTGACGGTGCTTGGGGGACCATATGGGATGCTGGGAATTGAACCCGGGTCGGCCACGTGCAAGGCAAACACCCTACCTGCTTTGCTATCACTCCAGCCCCAGTAATAACATCTTTATCAAAAACAGATGGCTGGATAAAGAATGGACCACATACATAATGAAATACTACTCAGCCCTAAAAAAAGGCGAAGTCATGCAGTATGTTGCCACATGGACAGAGGTGGAGAGAATCAAGATGAGTGATATTAGTCAGAGGGAGAGGGACAGACACTAAATGAGCTCACATGCAGGATATAAAGAAACTAAAGCAGGGGAATAACAAATATCAAGTCAACAGAGCATGAGAACTAGCCATCATCCTGTTGAAGCAAACTGCTGGGTGAGAGGCAAATATAGAGTGGGGTTATTGGTGGAAGGAAGTAGACACTGGTGAAGGGATCGATGATGAAACACTGCAAGCCCAAAATGCAATCGTGAATGGCTTTGTAATTCAGGAGAGGAAGAGGGTCTTCAGTAGGAAGCTTTCCACTAGGGTGGGTGGCAGGGAGTGGGAGGAAAGACCAGGGAACACGATGACAATGGTGAAGGTGAGTGGTCACTGGAGGAAGACAGGTTCTGAAAGGAGGTAAAATGATATGCCCTATCCCTTATCAGCGACAATACTGTAAAACACAGTGCCTAAAAAGGGGGGGGGGGGGAAGTGCTTGCTGTAAAGGCAGGAGGGAAGTGGACACAAGTCAAAGAATTGATGCTGGAATGTTGTACACCTGAAACTTCATCAGGAATAATTTTGTAACTTTGTAAATTCACGGTGATTCAATTTTAAAATATGGAGCAGCGGGACTGGATAGCACAGTGGGTAGGGTGTTCGCCTTGCATGCGGCCAACCCGGGTTTGATTCCCAGCATCCCATATGGTCCCCTGAGCACCGCCAGGAGTAACTCCTGAGTGAAGAGCAAGGAGTAACCCCTGTGCATCGCCAGGTGTGACCCGAAAAGCCAAAAAAAAAAAAAAAAAAAAAATGGAGCAAAATGATAGTATAGTGGGCAGGGCCTTTGGCTTGCACCTGGGTTCAATCCCAAATACCCATCTTGTCCCCCAAGCACTTCCAAGAACCACTCCTGAGTGCAGAGCCAGGAGTAACACATGTAGATCACTGGGTGTGAGCCCAAATTTACTTTAAAAAAAAAAAAACTAACAAGAGCCAAATTTATTTTTAGAATTTATAGCTAAAGCTTTGGTCTCTTATATTATTTACACACTAAGTGACAGACTGTAATTCTCTGTTTTAGATATTAGTGTTTCTAGTAATTCATATAACGTAAAACTGTATTGACTGTCAAAGAGCAAACTCCAGACTGAAGTAATTTATACTACACCCACCCAAATTCCATGAGAATGTCTCCAGCATATGGATCCCAAATAAATACTCGTGTATCATAAGATGCAGTAGCCAGTAATGCTCCATCAGGAGAAAAGTCACAAGCTACAACATCATGGTGATGTCCTTCCAGTTTCCTTATCATAGTATATTTATCCATATTCCAAAGAAAAACCTGCAATAAAAAGGCAAAATGTTATAGCTCCCTTCAGAGGCACAGAGGACAAAATGGCACATCTTAACTTAAACTGTTGCATTTAATTAAGATTATAGTAAATTAAACATCATAAATTATGAATAATTAAAATATGCTCAGTGTCACAGTCAGATTAAAATCAGTCTTTAAGTTAATTAAAGTAGACATGCAAACTCTATTTCAAATGCTTCTGTTAAATGTTAATTTAAAAATAAGCCTAAACATAAGAAGGCAGTGAAATTTAACCACAAAGTTATACTGAAATTCATTTATTCCCCAAAACTAATAACTAAAATATACAGAAATAAATAGGGTTAAATTCTACAAACCCCCTTCTTTTCCTTTTTTTCCCAGAAACTACCAAATTTTCAAAAAATATACAGACAGAAAACGTAAGGTTAACAAATTGTTACTCCATTGGCATCTCCCTTTGAGATAATCACTTGTTTACAATAGGCTTGGGTCACCAACGTGAGCCTAGGAAGAGAAACAGATACTGCAAGCAAAGAGAATTTTCACAGCCAAATGAAATTTCTTTGGCAAACATATGGATGTTAAACCACATTACAAAATGAAATCACTAATTTATGAAAACAATACAATTTAACAGTTCTGTGAGTTAAGATTTGCCCATCTTATTTTTCCCCAAACAGACCACAATAATTACTCATTTAAAGATAAAACATTAATGTTATTTACAAACAAGTTCACAAATAGTTTTAGTTTTTAAAGATCAGCAGTTAAACTGTGCAGAATGGCTCTAAATATGACACTAATTTTTAATGTTAAATGTGAGCTTAAAGTTTAAAACAATCCTACTAAGGCAATCGCCTATGGAATAGAGCAATCCTTTGGACTACATTTTTTTTCTGCACAGACATAGTATCATTCCAAAGAAAAATACAAATTTTAAATTGGATAAAAGACTTAAAGTACCTATAGAATTCCAAAAAACAGCACAGAGAAACCATCGAAAGCCAATTACATTACATTACATTGGTTTCACGTGTTAGACTCCCAATTCCTTCCGATTGAAAGACCAATTTACTCAAGGAGTCATGCAGGTTTCAACTGTGGGGTAATTATTTTAAAAAAGAAAAATAAGAAAGAAAGAAAAGCAGAAAGTGGACATCGACCAGCACCTGTGTACGTACAGTACACCTTGCAGCCGAATGCAAGGTTACTTCATCCTATGGTAAAGGTCGCCCCCAGCCCGGTAGCCAGAGATGCCACTCTTTCTGCCCAGCTAACACCATTGTGCGCCTGTGTGCGAGTGGTGCCAGCATAACCTCAATCACACCAATATTGCTGCCACCACCTGTGACAGGGAAAGCAAGAAGCATATGGAAAACACACAGCCTAAAATAACAATGTCAACATCTAGCTCTGTTCTTCTTATGATTTTTTAAAGAAGTATTCCTTTCTAAATTTCCAATATTTGCAACTAGCATTTTAACATACATCTTGACTAAGTAAAATACATTTTAACCAATCATCCCACAAACCCCCTCCCCCATAACTCAGTTATTATGACTCTAATATATATTTGGTCTTCAACCACTGTCGTAAGTTATCTGCAGCTAGTAAGATTTCTTTATACAAAACTCAGAGCTGTAGACAACTAAGAGTTCACTGATAAGTTTTGACCCACTAAGAATCACTTTAGATTTAATCTGACTACAAGCACACTATGAAAGACAGAACATATCAAAATTCACCTAAAACTTACTTTAGAATATACACAAGTGAAATTTTTATTACTAGGATTTTTAATTAATTTTCCCCCAATTAAATGTCTAAGATCAGATGGCACTCAAAACTTTTAAAACAGCAAAACAGACCCCCATCCTCCACCCCAAACAGAACAGAAAATAAAATAGTAAGAGAATGTCTTAACTCTTGGACTAAACCTCTTCTAAAGTACACAAACTTGCCTAACTCTTATAACAAATATTACATACTTCCTTATTTTACAAATATCTAACTGAATACAATCCACTTTCTTACTTCACAACCAACAGTTGTACTTTTCAAATTTCCCTCATGCAAATTCTTCCCGATCATGAAATAAACCATTTAAGATATTCATGACACCGAGCAGACTTAATCAATTACTCAGATTTCAATGATTATGCACACATTATAATCCAATTCACAGTGAATGTACAAGAACTTTGACACGTACTGCTTTACTGGCTCCCACTGAACACAGCATAGAAGAGTCAGGAGAGAATGCACAGTTGTACACCCAGTTCTGATGGCCCCTCAATACTTTCATCATGTTTCCTGAACAAAGAAATATTTGTTAATCCCAGGCTTCACTACAAATGAGCAGCACCTCAAATCAGAATCACTACCTTCTACACTCATTTATTACCACAGGGGTCGACAATATACACTGGCTGATTATTCTTGTAAGGTTTTATTGCAACAAACAAGCCCAGAGGTTCATATTGTTTTATGATGGCGAAATTGAATGACTGATGGAGACAGCAGAGCATGGCCCGCATGCCTATATAATCTTTACCACTGGACCCTTGAAAATGACACCTGACCCTTCAACTGCCGTTGACACACCCACCCTAGAGTAACACAACTAGAATATGTGGCCCCTACAGAGAATAAATGCAAGGACAACTAAAGAAATAAGTGCAGGGCAAGGAATGCAGACCCATGATAGATCACGCGTCTTGCATGTGTGGGGTTTGGGTTTGCTCCCCAACACCAAATAAATAAATGAGCGTGACCCCTGACAAGCACCAAAGGCCACTGTGCAAGCACAATCAAAAGTGAAAAAATAAAGACTGTGTGCTGTGATCTCAGTACCATCAATAGAGGGACGATTTTTGTTAAAATTACTGCAAACACTTTTTATTAGAGGCTAAGAAGGGGTTGAAATGGTCATCTCCAAACCTCTTGAAACAAGATATAAATACAATCTCTCCTCTCTCCCTCCCTCCCTCACCAAGTTTTCTAAAGAGTGCTCGACTCTGGTTCCCTACTATGATGCCGGAGGGCAAATGAACATTTACAAATAATTTCATATTTGACACCTAACTTCATATTATGCTTGTTAACATTCACAGGTTACAAATTCTAGTATACAAATCATCTTAACCTAAATCTTGTAGATTTACTAGTAGCAAACCAATAAAGCTCAATTTATCAGGCACATAAATAACCCTCCATAAAATAAAGGAAATGAGAGAAGAGAGACCAATTCATATAAAACCGTAAAATGGAATCAAATGGTTGATATTGATCTGTATGGTTAGAATAAGAGCAGACTGCTTAGAGTAACTGCTGACTTCCACTCTGTGTCACATTTATGGTTTTGTTTGATCTACTAAGGAAACAGATCAAAAGATTAGGCAGAGAAAAGAAACTTTGACCATATGTTGCTTTTGAAGTCAAATGTCCCATAAGAGCCCAGTACCTTCTCGTCCAAGCAGTAAGCAATTATTTACCATAGTCTGGAAAACACATACCATCATCTTTTAGGTCCCACACTCTTAGAGTTTTATCTCTTGAAGCTGAGACAAGGATCAAGCTCCCATCTGGAGCAAAAGTTAAATCTCTGACCACATCAGTATGATCCACCAAGTTAAGGAGGAGTTTTCCTAAAAAAGGAATAGAGAAAAGAGAAGGGGCAGAAACTTTTTTTTTCAGTGGGGGAGGGGATTAAAATATGGTCACTCGCCATTGAAAAAGAAAAAACTTTTATATTTGGGCCTCTCAATTTTCTGACTTATACAATCAAGTGTTTAAGAATTCACTATTTGTACTTTTTCATTTCTGGGTCCTTTATGATAGGTCCTTTCCTATGTCAGAAAGAGAGCTTCATGGGCTAAGCATAAGCTGACAAAGCCCTGGTTACTGGTTCAACCCAGGTCCTGCATTTTCTCCTTAACAATGCCACAAACAACCCTAAGCACAGGGCTGATAGCAGTCCCTGAGTAACCTTGGGGATGGTCCTAAACCAAAATACAGTAAGTGGATTTTTCCCCCTCAGGGAAACCTATTAGAAAAATTTAAAAGGGGGCAAGTTGTACAGGAATTAAGGTATTTGCCGTGCATGTGACCAATCTCAGTTTGGTCCCCAATACTGCATATGGTCTCAACACTGTCAGGAATAATTCTCTGAAAAGACAGGAGAAAGCCCAAAACACAAAGCCAGGAGTGGTTTCAAACCAAAGTTTAAAGGACAACAAAAACTTAAATGGGCTTACTCCTGGCTGTGCTCAGGGATCAGTTCCTGGCAGGGGCTTGGGGAAACATAAGGGGTGGCAGGAATCAAGTTATTGACACAAACTGTTTTAAGTAGTGGCAGATTTTATTATTATTATTATTATTATTAGTTATATTTTGGGCCCCAACAGTGCTCAGGGCTAATCCTAGCTCTATGATTGAAGATGGGTGGATTCAAAGCATCATCTGGTGACAGGGATCAAACTTGGCAAGCAAGTAAAATGTTCTACCATTGTGCTACCTTTCTGATCACAAAAGATTTACCTTTAATTGTCCTAGGAATTTAATTTCTCAGCCTACAGTCTAGTTAAACTTTAGATAATGGGTCACCAAAGCCTCTAAAAGGTTAATGATTGTTGAAAACCAGATTTACCTTGAAAGCCACCAAGCTATTAGTCATTGACTGAAAAAAAAAAATATACAAAAAGGTCACCTAGACCTTTGAGATACAGAGTACATTACTAATTTATGTGATAATTATAAGATTCCTTTCCTGATATAACAGTCCCTCCAAAGTGACCAAAGATATAAATTCTCTATTCCTAAATTAAGACTATAAATTTAAGAGCTAGAGCATTACTGTAGCTTGAATGCAGCCAACCTAGATTCAACCCCTGGTACCATATATGGTCCCTCAGCCCCACCAGTCGTGATCCCTAACCAAGCACAGAGACAGGAATAAGCCCTAAGCACCACCAAATGTGGTCCAAAAATCAAATAAGTAAATAAAACTATAAAGTTAAAATGTTGGTCAGGCCAGACACAATTGAATCACCAGTTTTTTCTTTTCGGTAAGCTCAAAATCCTCAAAGCAGGAGCTAGAGCCCTAGTGGTCCTCCCCCGACTCTGCGAATCATAAATTCTTGTGCCTCTCTATGAGCAGTGTTATGCATCAATGGGTAAAGCAATAAGGTTTGCTTTAAATGTATGACTGCATACCTGTATATGCATCCCATATTTTGATACGTCCATTGTTTAACCCTGTGGCAAGAAGTAGCTGATCTTGTCCAAATCTGAATCGATGCCATTCTATATTTACACAGCAGCTCTGTTTTTCTGGAACTGAAGATCCAAAAGCAAGACTCCAGACTATATCTCCACAGTCTATAACATGCTCACAAAGCTTATTTTTCTGACCACCATCACTATTTTGTCTTGACAATCTCAAACTGCTTGAATTAGTGATATTCTTGGTGCCATGCAAGAGACTGGAAAGGGGTATGAAAAAGGGCAGAAGGGAGATTAAAATCTAATTATTTACTTTGGACTCCTTTGGATACTCAATAATGACAAATACCTGTTAATATAAACTCAATATTATTCTAAGTGATACTAAATAACCACCACAGAATCCTACAGATGGAAAGGGAAAAGTTGCTCTTAGCTAAAGCGGGCATGACTAAACAAATTCAGATGAAAAGGAATTCTCAGTGACTGAGAAAGAGTATGCTCAACAATAAAGCAATGTATAATTTATTTCAAAATTTTCCCGCAGGGGCTGGAGCGATCGCACAGCGGGCAGGGCGTTTGTTTGCCTTGCACGCAGTAGACCTGGGTTCGATTTCCAGCATCCCATATACATTTGGTTTTTGGTATGTAGGGGCTTCTGCATGCAAAGCATGTTCTCTAGCCCTTTGAACAAACTCTCTGCCAATATGTTTATTTTATTTTATTTTTTTGCTTTTTGGGTCACACCTGCCAATATGTTTAAAGAGTCCTACTTGATATAGTGATCTAGGGTCCCCGGAGCACTGCCAGGAGTAACTCCTGAGTGCATGAGCGAGGAGTAACCCAAAAAGCAAAATAAATAAATAAATAAATAAATAAATCATTTGCTAATTTGCTTGCCCTAATTTCCTTTTAACACACAGAAAAACTTGACACAAAAGTATGTGATAAAATGGCCTATAAAGTCAGACAATTCTTAACACATTTTGATACTTGCATTAACAACTGTCTTATCAAAATATTTTGATTATTCCACAGAGGAAACAAGAGATAGGGTGGGAGGGAGAGACAAAATACAAACAAAAAGGTCTTACAAGTTTTTTCGGCACTGGGACCATGGAACAAGTTTTACTGTACGATGTCCTTGTGACCAGGCAAAGTACGAACCATCTGGTGCGAAAGCAACAGTCCAATTTTCATGGCCACATTTCTTGTCAAAAGGAGCTGCTGGAGCTAAAAGTTCACCTATAGTACGGGATCTCACTAAAAGGAAAATAAAAAAGTCTCATTTGGAAGCAGCATAAACAAGATAATAGTCATGCTACTTTAGTGGGGAAGAAGGTTCCCTTTCTGTGCAAACAATGTTCTGCTCTCTATGGTGGAGAGGAACTTTGTACATAAAGACCCTTTAATGACAAAACTATCTTCCAGTTTTGGTCAAGTAACGTACCTAAAATTTCCCAAAGAGTTTTAGAGCATTTCAAAGAAAACTGGACAGATGATAATGAAAGGACTAATCAGGTTTAGCAATTGCTAAACTCCTGGCTTGTATACTACCTTGGAATTTCAAATTACTAACACTCAAAATGAAAAAGGTCTATTTGTAAATAATATACTACCCAAAATATTTGGTAGCCTCCAACAAATCATAAGCCACTTCCATGCCAAATTTACTCAATACCTAAGCCATTATAAACTATATTATATATCTCAAAGGAAAGCACTATCAAACTAGAATATCTTTAATATCTTCATTTTTCCTGAAGCCAAATGTCACATGACATTTATATACTGAGAACAATAATGCTATCAACAGCTACTCTCCCCAAGATCTCTGGTCCTTTTGATCATTCCTTACATTAATCCCAGCCCTCTTTTTCTGTTTTTTTTTTTTTTTTGAGCCAGACCCAGCAAGTCTTGGGGGCTACTCCCAACTCTGCCGATGGACCTTGCAGAGCTGGACTGGGACACACACAAGCCCCCACCATGGAAAGCATGTTCATTCTGAAGCACTCAGCTCACTGAGCTATCTCTCCAGCAACTCCTCATCTTCATACTTTCCTGGAAAACTCACTATGAATGGCACTCTTAAAAACATAAGCACAAGATTATAAAGCAGTGCCTTGGAAAAAAATGTGCAAGTTAACCTTAATTTATGGACTACCTGCAACTCCTCAACATCCTAGGTGCATGATTTAATGACCTTTTGTGAAAGAAAGATTGCCTTTGGGGGGGAAATAGGTCACGAGACGATCCTACATCATCTATGTAGCGCTAACACCAACTGAGTCACTAAACCAAGCAAACCAGATTGGGTTCCTTCTTCACATTCCTCCCTGCAATTTCTATCGAGCAAGGAGCCTCTTTGAGGAGTGCCTTGTGAAAGAGAGCAGCCGCTCCCTACTGGAGAGATGTCTAGAACCATTCATGGAATCTGTCTCTCAGCAAATAACCAAAAAAAGGAAAGAGAAAAAAGCCTTTCTGACAGATACAAAGTTACAGAAGACAAATCAGTTAATTCTGTATCTAAATGCTACTTTTAAAAGAAACAAAGAAACAGGTCATTAAGAAGCTTTTCGTGTTGGATATGTAACTCAATGGTAGAGTGTATTCTTTGCCTATGTGGCTCTGAACTCTATTCACTCAACCAAAAAGTACATACATTAAATGTACATAATACCCAGGAAAATAAAAAAAAATCGAAAAAAGGTTACTCAGTGGAATTTTTGTTTTGGGGCCACATTTGACAGTGCTTAGGACTTGGTCCTGACTCTTCACTCAGGGGTTACTCTTGTGGTACTTGGGGGGCCCATACTGGGTACCGGGGATGGAACCCAAGTTGTCTGTGTACAAGGCAAATACTCCATCCACTGTACTATCCCTTCAGCCTCTCAGCGGATGCTTTTACCTTATGCAGGTATTATTTTCCCACAGAGAGGTAGATAAAAGTTTTCAAAACGATTCATCCACGGGGCTGGAGATATAGTACAGCAGGTAGGGTACTTGCCTTGTACATGGCCAATGGGGTTTGATCCCCAGCACCCTATGTGGTAACCCTGAGCTCAGCCAGGAGTGATTCCCTGCAGTCAGGAGTAACCCAAGCACTGTTGGGTATGGTGAAAAAACAAACAAAATTTATTCAAATGAAGTGAACCACAGAGAAATGAAAAGGAGGTTCACTCTAATGTGATGACTATAGAGGGGAAAAGCCCCACTGAACAAGAACTTTTGAGTTCTACATTCAGCTTCTGATATTTGAAGTAAAAAAATATAGCTAAAATTGAAATTGGAAAAAGTTTATTGTACGTTGAAAAGTTATTATGAGAATGCACCAATATACAGAAAGGACACAGTGTTTGGGCTTCTTCAGTTCCCCCTTTTCTCTAAAACACCATCCTCATGTATTTGGTATTGTTATTCTTATTTTGGGACCACACCAGGTGATGCTCAGGGATTATTCTGACTCTGCACTGAGGAGTCACTCCTAGTGGGTGGATGAAGAGGCGCCACACAGGACATTGAAGACAGAACCTGGGTGGGCTGCATGCACGCAGGTCAAGCACCTTTGTACTATCTCTCCAGCCTTCTCCTGTATTTAGTAAAGGCACAAGTTATTCAACGGGACAAGCAGAGCTTCTGAGCAAATCCTTCAGGGTTTTGTTTTTTGTTCTCCCTTCTGTTTTTCTCTTGGTGCTGGGAATCAAGCCCCCGGACTCATAAAAGCAAAGCAAGTAAGTGCTCCAATGATACCCCTGGCCAGAAAAAAAAAAATTTCTTAAAAAGTGGAGGATTGGGGCTGGAGTAATTGCACAGGGGGTAGGGCATTTGCCTTGCATGCAGCTGACCCGGGTTTGATTCCCAGCATCCCATATGGTCCTCAGAGCACCACCAGGAGTAATTCCTAAGTGCATGAGCCAGGAGTAACTCCTATGCATCATTGGATGTGACCCCCCCCCAAAAAAAAAGAGTGGCGGATCTGGGCTGCAGCGCTAGTTAAGCAGGTAGGGCACTTGCCTTGAACTCAGTGGAGCCGGTTCAATTCCCACCACCCCTGAGCACAAAGCAGTGTTAAGCGTGAGCACAGTCCAATGTGTTCCACTTAAAAAAAAAAAAAGAGGGTCTTTGGGCACTTTCGCGGTGATGAAGGTACCCCGTATATCAAAACTAAAGTCTTAAAACAATGTCACCTAAACTACAATATTTTTTTAAAAAGTTTTAATTTTAAAAAAAGTTAAAGAGTAAATTTAGGGGCGTTTAACTAGGTCAAAGAGATAGAGATTTAAAGGCAGGAGGTCCGGTTCTCTTCCCAGCTCAATATGGTTCACCGACCAGGAGCACTAAGCAGAGTATCCCTGGACACCTGGGTGTGTAGTTTTCCAACCCCAAAAAAGTGTTACAATAGTGTCTTCTGGGGCCGGAGAGAGACGGTACAGGGGCTTGCCTGCGGCGGACCCCGGTTCGATGGTCCCCCAAGTTCACCTGCCCCGATATCTAAGTGCAGAGCCAGGAGTGAATCCCTGAGTACCGCTGGGCGTAGCCCCCCCGAACCACCCCTCTGCCCCCCTCCCGCGCCGTAACGCATAGTTTCGGGTCCAGCGTCACTAACCATAAGTTGATGCGCAGTGCGCGGTACCCCCAATGCCCCCCCACCAGACTCCAGTAGCTGTACCAAAGCGAGGTGCTTCGCACCGCGCCCCGCCAGCCCAGCCCAGCCCGCTCCTCCCGGCCGCTCTGCGTTTGAGAGATAATGCTGCGTCTCCGCCCCCGAACCGCTAACGCCGTCCCATTAATTTAAAAAAGAAAGAAGAAAAAAAAAAAACGACTGCTCTTGATGGGCCGCGAGTCCCAGGGCCCCTTAAAAGCCCCAAAGGTGCCCTCGAGGACTCCGTTCTTTCTTGGAAGCGCCTGGCCCGCCCCGGCGTTGCCCATCGTCGGCTCCGAGCGCTCGAGAAGCCCAGCTGCGCGCCCCCGCGCCCCCCGCCCGCGGCGGCCGGGTGCGGGACGGCGCCCCCGGGTGCGGGACTGCGGGACGGCGCCCCGGGGCTCCCCGCCGGCCGCTTCCTCCTCCCCGGACCCCCGCAGCCGCGCGTCGCCGGCCTCACCGATCTCTTTCTCGTTGACCCTCGGGGGAAAGCTGGCCATCTATGGGGCACCGTCTAGGTCCCGGGGAGCACGACGCGGACGCCAAGAGCGAGAGAAAGGAGCGAGGAGCGCCGAGGGGCGTGACGCGGGGCTGGGTCCCTCCCGGAGCCCGGGATGGAAGGGCGGGACGGGGCGGGGGCGGTCGCTGCTGCGGCTGCTGCTCGCCTGGCCCGCGGGGAAGCGGCGCGCGGACGCTCTGGGGACCCGGCTGCCGAGCCCCGCGCAGACAATAGACCCCGGGTTTCCCCCGACTCGCGCCTGCGGAACCCCCGAGCGCCTGCGACGCGGACGACGGCAAACGAGACACTGGAGACAAAATGGCGGGCGCCCCGGGTACTAGCCGGGCGGGGCGGGGCCTCGTGACGTCATTGAGGCCCCGCCCCCGGCGCGCGGGACGTGCCGGGCCGGGCGCGCGCGGGCGTGGCCCGGGGGGCGCCGAGCGGGGGCGAGCTGGCGGCGCGCCGGCGCGGGGGACGCATGCCGCAGCCTGAGCTCGGCGGCGGCGGCGGCGGGGGGCGGGGCGCGGGGAGGGGGCGCCCGGCGTGCTGTTTCCGAGTTGCGTGGCCTTTGAGGACGCAAGCAGCATTGTTAAAGCTCCTGTTAACCCACAGCTCAAAGACCGAGTGGGACCGAACGTGGCGGCACCGAAAAGAACAAAAAGCCTTTTCAGACGGCGACTCGGCCTGCCCACCTCCCCCCGAGCCCTGCAGGCCGCCAGACTGGCGGTGGCGCTCCTCGGCGGCGGGGAGGGCGGGGGAATGGGATGGGCATGAACATCCCTCTGCCCGGCACGTCTGGCCACGACGGTTCCGGAACGAGCCCGGTGGCTCTGGGCAGGGTGGAGGTGACCGTCGTGAGGAATCAGGAGACCCGGGCATGATGGCGCCCACCCCGATCCGGGACCCCCGGGGCTGCCTTTGTCCCGGCCGCGCCCGACGCGCTCTGCCCGCCGGGCCACCCCGGGGCGGCGGCGCGGCGGACGGTCCGCGGAGTCCTGCCCAGTGGCCGGCAGACACGGTGTTGGCCCAGCAGCTGTCCTTAAACACCCAGGGCGTGGAGTCTGGGAGGACGCTAACTCCATGCTGAGAATCCAAGCCCCCCGGAAGCCGAGCCTAATTACAAATGACTTATTTGCATTTTAATGGGTCCCTTTGTGGACCTTATTCCACAGGAGGCGGTGCCGAGACGGGGAATTTCAAATATGCGGCAGATACTGGTGGGAGGGGGAGGTGCTCCGCCGAACTCTGCGCCCTCTCAAATGACAATGTGTAGGGCCAGTCGACTTGTCTTTTCCTTCGCTCCATCATTCGACCAATAAAATGTTTAGTAGGAAGATATAAGAAGCCACCTCCCCTCGGCTTTGTAAGAATCAATTTATTACATTGAGTCAGTCATCATATCTCTTGGGGTTTTTCTCAGTGTCAAGTAAGGTAATGTCTAATTTCTGAATATTTACAGTAGACAAAGGGAAAAGAATTTATCCAGACTGGTAACTAAAAAATTAACATATCCAATCTCCAGCCCCAGGTACGGTCCTGGAGCCCGCCAGGAGTAATCGCCGAGTGCTCTAGAGAGATGCAAGCCCTGAACACACTGCTGGCTGTGTTCCCACCCTTCCACCAGTACCCCCCAAATGCGTTCCTAGGGGCCTGAGCGATGGTTAAAGGATGGTAGGGCGCTTGCTTTGAAACAGGATTTGATTTCTGGCTCCCCACCGGGTTGGATCCCAAGCACCCTGAGCCAGCAGAAAGCCCTCAGCACCACTGGGTGTGGTTCAAAAAACAAACAACAGCAGCTTATCAGTTCCTGCTAATTCTTTTGAGGGGGTGCGGGGAGAAGGAGTTGGACCACACCTTGCAATGCTCAGGTCCTAGTCCTGGCTTTGTGCTCAGGGGTCTTCCCTGGCAGAGCTTGGGACCAACCATAGGTGGGGCCAGTGACTGAACTTGGGTGTCTGGGTGCAAGGCAAGTGCTTTAGCCACTTTACTTTCTCACTGGCCTCCTGCTAATTCTTTTACCCAGCTATTACTAGCACTGTAGCACTGTCCTCCCGTTTTTTTCATGGATTTACTTGAGCGGGCCCAGTAACATCTCCACTTTGAGATTTGTTGTTACTGTGTTTGGCATATTGTATACAGCACAGGTAGCTTGCCAGGCTTTGCCCTGCAGGCGAGATACTCTTGGTAGCTTGCCAGGCTCTCTGAGAGTGGTGGAGGAATCAAACCTGGGTCGACCAGGTTGGCTATGTGCAAAGCAAACGCCCTACCCGCTGTGCTATCACTCCAGCCCAAGGATAAATGATTAAATTAAATAATAAATAAATTAGGGGCTGGAGTGATAGTACAGCGGGTACAATGTTTGTCTTGCACGCGGCTGACCCGGGTTCAATTCCCAGCATTCTATATAGTCCCCTGAGCATTACCCCAGGAGTAATTCCTGAGTACAAAGCCAGGAGTAACCCCTGTGCATCGCTGGGTGTGACCCAAAAAGCAAAAAATTAATTAATTAATCGAAGACAGGGGAGATGGCTGCAGCACGGTTTTCATGCAAGAGGGGAAGTTCAGGTTTGATTCCTGAGCACAAAGCCAGGAGCAGTTCCTGAGCACCACTCAGTATGCCTCACATAGTAAAAGACAGAAAAGGATAAGTTAATCCCTTCCCTTAGTGCAGTAGAGTAAGATTCCCCAGCATACAATTTGAAATAGCATCTTGTGGGTAAGAGTTCAGTTCTGCAGCTACCTACTCTTTCTCCACACCTTGGTTTTCCTCCTGAGCATTGCAGCTGGACTTTCAGCCTTAAAAAAAGAATCAGAACAATCTCCTCTGCAGAAAAGAAAGGAGACTCAGAGTTGTACCCAGCAGTGCAGCTGTGGGCCCTGGGGGAGACTGAGAGCCCCTACACTGGACCTGAGGGTGCAGAGCCTCTTCTCAAATTTTTAGTGCTGCTCCCCATACAATGCCAGACGTCTAGGAACTCCTCTTGTGGAAAAATCATGGCAACCAACATTGGGCAGACGCATGCACCACGAAGAAGCATCAGTAAGTCCGAAAGCCAGAGCAAGACGAATAGACCGTGGAAAGGAACATTCAGAAAACAACAACCAAAAGAAGAAAAGAGCTCTAGGACATTGAAAACACACAGGGGGGCTGAAGTTTGAAAAGCATGTGGAAAGCCTTACGCAGAACCCAGAACACCAGGAGAAAGAGAACAGAGAAAAGGATGCACAAGACCTCTAACTAATGGACATTCTCAAGAGAGACAAGGGAAGGAAATCATTATAGAAGTAACTCCAGAAAAGTCCCCAGAAGGACTCACTAGCAATGAAAGTAGAAGGATGTAGATTGCATGTTCAGATTATTAGGACAAGGCAAAGATTGTTTCTTCCTTTGGAAAAACAATGGCAGCGGGGTGGGTGGCTGGGGGAACTGGGTCACACTCTGCAGTGCTCAGGGCTCACTCCTGGCTCCATGCCCAACAGTGACTCCTGGAGGTGCTCAAGGAAACATAAGTAGTGCCCAGAAGACCATATGTGGTATCAGGGATTTGATCTCGGGTCAGCTGCATACAAGGCAAACACCTTACTTGTTTTGCTATCTCACCAGCCCCAGCACTGTCTCAAGAGATACAATCATTGTCCCTAAATATGGGGAAGTTGACTGATTGCGTTTCTCTGCACTTTGGTAAGTCAGGACATAGAGGAGGAACATCCCCACAAGTCTGAAAGAAAATTATTTTCCACCAAGAATTTTATGTAAGCAAACCATTAAGCAGGGGTCAAGGCCATTTTTAGCTCTGCAAGGATTCAATTAGTGTGGCCGGCATGCTGGGGAAATACCTGTAAGTGAGCTTTCCACAGAACAGGGGGTGAGATGAGCAGAAGAGAGCTGTAGGGATCAGGCATTGACAGGAAACGGGCTTGGGGCTCTGGAGGAATGAAGAGGGAGGAGCAGAGGAAGGGGCATGGTTGAGTTCCTGGTGCCTTCAGAGAATGGCACTAGAAAATATACCCCATAGTCACAGAAGCAAGCATCTTGAGACAACATGCAGATAACAAGCAGAGTTTGGGGGACAGTTTCTGAATTCTATCTTGACAAAGCAAACACAGAGAGATGGAGACAGGGAATTAGCCACCCCCCAAGAAAGGGAAAGATTAGAGTCACCCAATTAAGGAAAAGTACTTGTGATGCTCTGCATTGTTTAGTTCTCACTAGTATACCTACTGATGGCACTTTAATTTATAATCATCATTTCTAAGCAGAACCACAAATATTTCCACATTGCCCATGCTGGGGAAAATGTACATGTGTGTATGACCAAAAATGCATGTGTGTGTTCAGAAAAAAGTAAAGAAAGAGGTAGAATTTGACCAGCTATTATTACCTATGTTTAATTGTGCTATTTTATACAAATTCATGGGAAATATTAATGCTTTGGTGTCTTCTTAGTTTTTGTTTGGGGACTAAGCCTCCTGTTCTCGGGGCTTTGGGATGGCTCTTGGTGGTGTTCAGAGGACTCTGCAGTGCCAAAGGTAAATTTACTCCCAACCCCTAGTATGCAAAGCTCCTATTGAGCTCTTCAAAGATTCTTTAGCCTGTTGTCTCGCTCACTTTCCAGGTGTCTTTTAATTATTTGAGTGACTTTTTAGTGTGTGTGTGTGTGTGTGTGTGTGTGTGTGTGTGTGTGTGTGTACCTGAGGTGTTCAGGTGCTGTTTCTGTCATAGTGTTTGGGGAACTCTGCATAGAATTCCCACCTCCAGCATACAAAACTTGTACTCCCCAGCCTTGTGCAAGGCAAACGCCCAACCCCAGTTCAATTCTTGGCATCCTGTATCATCCCCTGAGCACTTCCAGAAGAATTCCCTAAGTGTTGAGCAGGAGTAACCCCAGAGCATTGCTGGGTGTACCTTCCTCAAAAAAATAAGGGGGGATATGGTACTGCCAGCAGGTCAGTCTGTACCTGTGAGGCAAGTGCATCAGCAGCCTGATGGCACTTTCAAACTTCCAGATACCCCAAAATTGCTTTTGTGCCTTTGGCCAACCCCAACAACTTGGGGCCAAGTTTACCAAGAAAGTAAATGGCCAAAAGTTAGGTATGTGGGAGACATACCCAAAAACCACCTACAGCTCAGCTATATAATAGGAGGCAAGGCCTCTCTGGTTCCTGATCAAACTGCTTAACGGCCATGATCCCAGAGACTCAGAAACAAATCTCGGAACCCAGCCACTTTTGGCAGAAATGCATCTGGTCCCTGAAGTAGGTTACCAGCTCCGAACCACCCCAGGTGGGAATAGGTTTCGTGCCTTGGCCTGTTCCCCC